ATGTTGGAGAAAAGACAGACTCTTCAACAAATGCTACCAGGAAAAATAGTTATTCATGTGCAGAAGAATGATCGTAGTATCCGTATTTCTCACCCTACACTTTAGCAAATCAAAATGGGTCAAAGACTTACATATAAAAACAGGAATAGTGAATCTTCTGGAAGACAGAGGTTAAACTTTTGAAGACACATAAATTTTTAACAGAACCCAATAATATCAAGAATTAACAAATTTAATTTATAGCAAATTAAAAGCAAAGGAAATAATGAAGAGAGTAAAGAGACAACTTATAGGATGAGGGAAAAATTGCTAGCTATTCTTTGGACAGAGGATTAATATTTAGAATATTCAAAGAACTCAAAAAAATTAGACACCCCTCAAATAAAAGATCCAATCAAAAAATGAGCAATTGAAATGAACAGACATTTCTCAAAGGAAGTGCAAATGACCAATAAGTACATGATAAATGTTCAGCATCTTGGTCATTAGACAAACACAATCAAAATAACATGAAGATTCTATTTTATTCCAGAAAGTATGGTTAGCTTTATGAAATCTATAATAACAAAAGCTGGTGAGGTTATTAAAAAAAAAGAAGTCTTCTACACTGTTGGTAGGGATGTGAAATAATATGATTATTATGAAAATCAATTTGGAAATTCCTTAAAACCAAAATTTCATTAGACCCTGCTATTCCTGTTCTGGGCATCTTCCTGAAAGAGTTAAAGTCATAATACCACAGCGATACATGTTATATTTATAGTAACAGAATTCACAATAACTAAATTATAGAATTGTATGTCCATCAACAGATACTACTCAGCTATACACTAGGATAAATTTGAGTCATTTGTAGGAAAATGAATGGATCTTGAAAGACCATAATGCTAAGTGAAACAAATCAGAGAAAAAGCATATCACATGGTTTCTCTAATATTAGAAACTCAAAATGTAAATAAACAGCAAAATAAAGGAGAGATGGCAGGAGTGAGGCAGTTAGACTCTGTTGAGAAGGGAAGGTAATGAAGGGAAGGGAGAAAGGCTGGGTGGGGATGGTAGTGGATATAAAATTCTCAAAATGGGATAGTTTTAGACACTAATTCCCTAAAATCTATGTGATTATTACGTATCACAAACATGTATCAACAACAGTCAGGTGTGGTGATGCACACCTGTAATCCCAGCATTTGGGAGGCTGAGGCGGGAAAATCGCTGAGTTCAAGGCCAGCCTGGGCTACACAATGAGACCCTGTTTCAAAAAAAAAAAAAAAAGAAAGAAAGAAAGAAAGAAAGAAAGAAAGAAAGAAAGAAAGAAAAGAAACAAAACCCACAATATATATCAACAACAAAAAAGGGCTATGAGTAGTGGTTTTGCTCATAAGTCATTCATATTCTCAATGTGAAAATATTTAATACGTTTCTTTCTGACTCCTATCACATGCCAAAAACCTCTGATTCTATAATTTACAACTCCCCATATTTTGAATAATGTTCTTTAGTGAATGCCAGAACCATGGAATAGCAATGGTATTCTCAAAACAAAAAAAGAACAAAAGCACACAACAAAAAAGTATTAAAAAGATCTTTCTCCTTTGCATATAGGATTATTAAATCTTGGGGCTGAAAAAAACTACATAAATTGCATTATAATAAAGTATCTAGACATAGTCCACTGTGTTAAAATTATTTCTACTTTCTGGAAGCCAAGAGCTTCCTTGTTAAAGTGTAAAATGAGATTTCCCCTCTTCACAACTCCTTGTTCTCACAGCTGAACTATCACAGCATGAAAACATTCCCCTACTGGTGAAGCTTTAGATAGCTATTTCCCAGATAAAAGAGTGTAAAAGGAACTGATAGAGTTATTGACAATTCATACAGTATCTCATATCCCATTAGAATACAACTACAAGCAAAGAAATATTTTAAGTCTGAAGGAAAATGTGTAACGATGTTTTGTGTAACTGCTAACTTTATCAAGTAGTTTAAAAATGGCAAAAGACTGAATCCCACCAGGTTCATGAGACTAAAGATTATACAAGAATCTAATTATAAGATTAATTTTTTCTTCTGCTTTGTAAATCAAATAATCAAAAGTATACTGAAGAAAACATTTCCTGTGTTACTGCAAAGTAATTCTTATACAATATGAAAACATAAATGAAAAAAGCATTTTAGTCTAGTCCTTTGTTACCTTCCATAAAACCAAATAGCTTCGAGATATGAATTAGACATTATAATATGTATTCTTTCAAAATGTTTAATTCCATGACATTTTGTAAATTTATAGGTGTGCAACTTTACTACAATTTAATTTTAGAACACTTCCATCACCCCAAAATTTTTAACATTTTGATCTATGATGCTGTGTTTCCATAAAACTACTGTATATTCAAAGCCAAATAAATTTCTGTAACTGAACAGAAAAAGCACAAAATAACTTCACTTTTAGTGACCTTTACAATCAATCCTCTCTTCTGGCACTGGGAAGGAAAATATTCAGGTGCTTTCCCTGCAAGTTAAACCATTCTAAGTATTAAGTTATGGCACACTGTTTTGGAAAGAAATTAATTACATTTTTGTTGGTAACACATTTCAGGCTGTTTATATAGCTGACATTTCTCAGCCATACCCAATTCATGCCCTAAGCTGTGAGGACTATCTTTTGTTGTAGCAGATCCCTTCACTTGATTTTAGCAAGTATAGAAATCTCTTTGCCTACAACAATGTAGACTATAACCATCAAGTTTGTTAAGTTTTCATAGTCGTAACAAAAGAAAGATTTATGGCATTTCTTTGACTAGAATCCCCTAAAAGAGTACAATTAAAAAACAATTTTTGCTTAAAGTCAAGCACTGCAGCTAATGCTATGGCTCCAGTTAAAGACAGCTTGGCCCTAAATATCTTTGCTGTATCAAATCATGTAGCTCAAAGCACCAACCCACCAATGTGGCAACATTTGCTCTAGGGAAGTCTGGGCAAACAACACTTCACAGGTTCTGGAACAAGGTGCAAATATGAATAATGAGGCAAAAAGAATCAAACATCTTAATGAGGAGTTCCTTCTTGCACTTGCTGTGATTTAGATACAGCAGGAGGTAGCATTACCTTCTGAATACTTTTAGTTTTATCTGCTTTCCATATTTTCCCACAAGAAAGAAATTGTACTACAACTATCTAGTTAAAAGATACATATTATAAAAGTCATTAATATATAGGTCTCGATGAATTAGCAGCTGATAAGTCAGGCATTTTGTTACAGAAAAATTGCTCATTTTTCAATAAATTTCATTTCTGAACTTGCAGCTGATGAGACTGTTTTGGTCTGTTTTCTACAATATAGTATCCAACTCATTTTTGCCTAAACTCAAGCACTGTAGCTAGTAGATCTGCTCTGAAGCCTGAGGAGTTCCACATTCTTAGACTTTCTGTTTCCTTATCCAATTAGGTAATTACTTTTGCTTTCAACTTTTATTATGGAATCTTCAAACATAAAAACTCAAAATGTGCATCAAGATCCAAGATAAATATAGCTAATCTATATTACCTCTATCCTCACTGTTCTTGTCATCCCACAGATTATTTTGCAGCAAACCTTGTATCATTTAAATCAGTCAGTTTGTGCCTATGATCTTTTTGAGTTACCATGTCTAAGCATTAATTACAGTACTGATTGTCATTCATTTAGTGTCTACTATAAAGTAGGTGGTGAAATATGTTATCCCTAATCTTCACAACAATGGTGCAAAGTAGAGATAAATCAAATTGGAAGAATTTTATGCCCAGATTATAATTATTTTCTTCTATTAATGTTATTATCTTTTGTAACAGGTTCTTAGATAATGCTAAGAATATGTCTAGATTGTTCATATCTCCTTAAACAATGCTCTTTAAATAAGTATTGCACATTTTCTATCAAATTTCTTGCCCTGGTGCTGGGGATTTAGCTCAGCAGCATAAGCGCCTGCCTTGTAAAGCAGGCAGTCATGAGTTCAATCCCCGGTACCGATAAAAAGGAAAAAGACAAAAAAAAAAAAAAAAAAAAAAATTTCTTGCCCTAAAAGGAAAAAACAAAGCAAAACAAAACTACTTAAAAACACACAAAACCTCCAGCTCTATTCTTAGCAATAGTAAACCAGTCAATAATTCTGATGATTTAATATTAATGCTAAAATCAATTGTTCAGAAATAAATGTAATTGCCTATATCCAAGTACTTTTTTTCTGGAAGGGTTCACTAAAAGTAAATAAAAATTTTGTTATTTTCTGATTATTTTAACATTCTGCAATTCACAAAGCATTTTTTAGGCATTTTCTAATAACACAGTGTTTATGCTGTGAGTAATTAGTCCTAAGCAACAACCATATAAATAAGTCATCGTAGAATTTTTCTGTCTTTTAAAAAGAACTCCTCCTTATTTAAATGCTTGATGATGGAATAGTTAGTATGTACCATTATAAAATGTATGAGGAAAAATAGTATCTAAAAAACCATGGGGTATGCAGATTTAAACATAATGATTAGGTTGATTTTGAAATATCTGTAATATGAGTATTTTATTAGTAACATCCAAATATATCAAATATAATTCTTGTTTATATATGTGTGCTACTGGTGGTTGAGTGACAAGCCTTACACATACTAGGGAAGCATTCTGCCACTGAGTTCCCTTTCACTTTATTTTTTATTTTGCTCTCCAGTCTCACTAAGTGGCCCAGGCTGACCTCAAACTGGAGTCCTCCTGTATGGGTGAATACACTCTTCTCATCAAATGCCCGACACTGACATTGTAACGTTACTATTGTAAGGCTGTTTTTGGCTTTGGATATCTCTTCTGCAAATAAACTCAAATTATTAAAACTGCTCTTATTTTCACATGATTTAACTTATAAAGCTTTTTCAATGCAATATCAAAGTAACTGATTCTCCTTGTTTTCAAAGCCAATCAAACTGACAAGTGGCAAAAAGAGAAAAGGACATAAAACTGAGAACCTATTACTTACTGAATCATCTGTGGCAGAAGATGGCCAGCCCTCCCACAACTGATGTCGAACAGGTATACTTGTAAGGTCATACACATTTCTTTTTACCTATAAAAAAGAAAGGACACAATTTAAAAAGGACTACGTAAGGTAGTTTCAGTCAATTTATGTAACAGACAACACATGTCCTTTTTTATCTAGATTAAAATCATTTTTTTTTCACAATGAGGATTTTAAAGTAAAAACACAAACCTGAATTTTTTTTTTTTTTTTTTTTTTTTTTTTGTACCAGGGATTGAACTCACAATCTCATATTTGCAGGGCAGGCTTTTATGACACTGAGTTAAATCCGTGGGTCTAAGCCTGAAATTTTTTGTAAAAAAGAAATAAAACCAAATTTTAAAGCTGAATTTCAGTGGAGATTTGATGAAGTAATGGTTCAAGAAAAACGTTTCTTCTTTGATTATTTTTTGATTCCTGGCTGAATCCAAGGTTCTTTTTCAGTCAAGAAACCTTAGTCTATAATTCACTTAGGACAGAATACAATTATAAATGCTTATAATTTATTTAATTTTAAAACTGTACAATGATTCAAACAAAGTATTTCAAGTGTTTATTTGGGAGAGGAAAGTGTTTTGTTTTATTTGTAGGGTGGGGAGAAGTTTGGAATTGCATTTTTAAAGATAAAAAACTTTTCAAAGATAAAAACTTTGCATAAAGTAGCATAGGTCATTTTTTTGAAATCATGCAAAATAAAAACCGCATCAACAGAATATTTACTGATACCAGAGCTATTAGTTAATATAATGTGTAGGCCCTTCCTGAAAGGAAAACAGATTAAACCCTATTAAACATTAAGAAAAACTCTCTTTTCCAGTAGCAAGAGTAAACCTTTCAACTTTAAAAGGAGAAGAGGAAAGTAACTCATCAGAAGAAAGATATATATATCTTTGACTTTTTTCCTAATGAGCTTGCAGAAACCCTATTTTATTCTTTACAATGAAAATAAATTAACAAATTGTAACAATAAGAAATCATCCATCTAAATTAACTTTTCAAGTTAGTCATAGTATTATCACCCTGCTCTAACAAATAGCATTAGTACTCAAATATTGTATATGTTCCATAATAAGACTACAATATGGTTGGCTGGTCTTAGACAAGCAGCGTTCATTCATGTTTTTAAAATGCAGAAACCTAAAGTATTATGTTGTCCAATTACAGCATTTTGTTATCACATTACTCTTTCTTATATATAAATACATCTAACTTGCCCTTCCAGTGAAACAGATATATGTTCACTAAGGAAAGAAAAAACCAAAACAAAACACGGAACTCAATCTATTTTTACCTCCACTGTACACCTGTGGAAAAAAGATTTAGTAAAAGATCTGAGGAACTTGAAACATGGCTTGATCTCTACTCAGCTCAAACCACTTTTCTTCAGAGGTTCTTAGCAATGGCCAGTTTACCATGCAATATTTTCTTCACATCAAATTTGGAAATTTTTATTAGTCATAATCAACCCCACAATTTTACCAAATGTAACTGAGTTAACCTCTGACCACTTTCACTTGCTGAGACAATTTTGTCATGTTTAAGTATCTGTGTAAATAAAGAGAAGGTTGTTTCACAGACTCAGAGTATATTAATTAAAGAGAGAAGAGGACAAGAAAGGAGTCTTTAGGTTTCAAGTCAAAAGTTCTTTCCTTAATAAATTATTCTTGGATTGTCCAGAAACATCAAACCTGCTAATACTCAACTATTTTGGATAAAACACAGAAAAAAGCCTTTTATATCTTTTGGAAAGGTGGCTAGGGTATTCTACTGGAGAGTACACACAAATCCTATGACTACATAAACAAATAACTTTGAAGTAAGAGTTTTTAAATTCTCCCTTAATTCCAGAATACAACAATAGAGTATTATGAAATGAACAGTATTTTCTTCTTTCATTAACTCATCTGTAACTGCACTGAATTGAATAACATTCCTTTGCTATTCTAAGCCTGAAAAGCATGTTCTGGCTATAGTGTTATGTTGGTATAAAGCACAATGCCAGACTGATGTGCTGAACAAAAGTGATCAAAGTTAGAGTAATGTTAGCCATTGCACAAGTATTTGGCTTCATTGTTCTCTCCAGAATGACATCTGTTAAGCAACTTGTCATAGAACAAACTGGTTAATGCACACAGAATTTGGCTCAGAGAGTACCATGTAAAGCATATTAGGCCAATGTTTGATTGTTCCAATGCAATGGCTAAATTCAGAGGACTCAAGAGATTAAGCCAAAAGAATCTTACGTTAAACCACAATCACTAAACAATTTAAATGAAAACAAATTATCTTTTCAAAAATTACTCCATCTTCATCAAACCTATAGTGGCGATTTCAGTAATACAGATACAAAGACTTCATTATCTTTAGTGATGATTATTGTCAAAATTTCACATTACAATTCTGCTGGGAAGGAAAAAATTCAAAATGTACACAAGGCAAAAGTATAAATAATTATTTTTAAAAATTGGTATTCTAGGAAAGCTGAATAATAAAATACAGTTGTGCATAAAATGATGCAATTAAATTTAAAGTCACCGTGAATCAGATGAAAGACAGCTCTCACAGAGGGGGAGATAGGAAAGAGAAAGAGAAGGTGGAGAAAAAGAGAAGACCAGAGGGTAAAGGAGGAGACGGGAACAGACAAAAGAGAAGAGGGGGGAAGTGTGAAAGAAAGTGATTGATTTGAGAGCACTTAGGCAGAAAGAACACAAACTCAGGCTGGGGTGCGGTGGCTGGCATGCCTGCTGCCATTATTGTTCTGCTTCTTCTAATGGAATTTCATCTTTAGAGATTGTTAAATTCTAGTGGCACTTCAAGTGGATAACATTTCTTAAGGCCTTTTTGGCCTTGCAACTTTCCATTGATCAGTACAGGCTCAAGATCATGCTGAATCTTCATAATCTTTTTAATTCTTGTTTTGCATTAAGCCGTAAATCTATGAGATTTCAGGCTGCTAAAATCTGCAAATGTTTCAATTAGTTCTGAAGGAACTCAATATATGCTCTAACAACTGAGCACTAAAACGTCACAAACCAAACTGTATTTGAATGGAGTTCTAGATTGACAATAGATCTTCTAGAGAGTGTTTTCTAGACTCTTTCAAACAGGTAATTTAATTCCCCCTCATTGTTTCAGATAAGAAAACTGTGACTGAGAAAAAAATACAAATCAGATTAACTTGAAACAGAATAGAATTAATATAGTACTGGTTTATTCTCATGTTATTTACATTTCATTGTCAACAAATATCTATATACTATAATATAAAAAGCTAAGCAATGGTTTCTACTTCGAAGTTAATATTTCCTCAATATCTGTGAAAATTTCTATGTTAAACACAACACTGGAAAAAAGATCATTTTATTGTGACAGGTTCAATATAAAATTATAAAAATCATATTCACAAGGTTATCTCCTACAAATTATTGTTTGATTCACTTAAATTTTGAAACAAGTTTATTTTTCCTTTACATTTTACCAAAATTTTCTAGAAAAATAATTCTTAGGGAAAGTTACTCTGCTAAAGGCTTAATTTTAAAGTTCAGATTAGATTTAAATGAGCTATTCTCTTCAAATTGAAAGGATACAGTTTAGTACATAGCATTTCAGTTATAACAAAAACATTCCTTGTAAGCTAAATGTTGGTTAAACTATTTTAAAAAAAACATGTCACAGAATTTGAATATCATTCAAATATTATTTAAAGGCAGGTAGACTGTGCTAACAGAAAACAACAAGGCACTATGACTCAGGTGATATGACATAAAGAGAAACAGAGAACCAGATTTCTAGTCCTAATTCTGCACAGATATTGCTTGTGGGTAAACTGGTAGATCTTTTCTGAGATTTAGTTTACTCAATGTTCGAAGACAGTAAACCACAATCATTTTTGATTTTTAAAGCTCTAAAATCCTATCATTTCATGAGGATCTTTCATGGAGTTAATTTTAGGTATAAAAAGGAACTAAATATATTCAAGACAAAGAAGCAATGAAGGAAAGCTTACCACCATTAAGGCCAGTAAAATAGTAGTTAGTAAATATAAAAGAAACACCAAGAAGGAAAACATCAAATAATTTCAGGTGAGAAATAAAGAAAAAATATATCATTACAAGTAAATTTTTTCTTGGGTGAAGTATTAGTTTGTGCACTTTTCATGTACTTTTCTAAAAATCTAATTAATAATTTTCCCTCATGAAATCTCATTTAAAAATAAAGCCTGTCATACTAATTTCCCAAATTATTCCTTCAATCAAATGTTATCAAAGAGGCAATAGTTTTGTCAGAATAGTACTACCTAAGTGTTACTGTTTTAAAGCTTTCCTAATTTATTGCACCATTTAAAGATTTTTGAAATCTGGCCCGGGATTCTTGACATAACTGACATTTTAATATAGCAAAAGTAAAACAAAACATGATCTTAGAAGAAATGTCAATTAACTTTCTAGTATCTAGATTTTCTGAATTAAGATATTATGGCATATTATAGCCTTTACAAAAAGTATCTTGAAACTACAGACATCTCATTCTTGTATGATTCTTATAAATTTTAAATATATCAAATTGTGAGTTTCAAGTACTTCAAACTATCAAATAACATTCTGGTTAACAGTTTGCTAAGTAATAAACGCACTGAAAAAAGTATTTGTATGTATGTTTAAAATAAGGCCTACACACTAGGCTCATTTCCAGTTTCTTAGCAACCACTGGTTCTCTGAAAAGTTTATATGGTTGAAAAATTAATTACTTCTGATTCAAAGTAGGTTTTGAACATATACTTTATATCTAATGCATTCTCTTATCTTTTTTTTAACATACTGCACAAGCATTGTAGTTACACATGGAATTGTTTTACTAACATGCAAGTTAAACCCTCCTAAAAATCCTTCCTGAACAAAAAAAAAAACCACTCAAAATCGGTTGGTGCAAGGGGAATGAGAAGGTGGCATCAGTAATCAAATGTTAATTAGCAAGCTTTTTTTTTTCCTTCCCCCAGGGCTGGCCTGTGTTAGAGAATTCAAATCAGAAATCAATGCTCTAAGTGTTTA